CGTGTACAAATATACATAAAATAATTATTAGTGTTTTATCTTACATGTTATAAGTTATCATTCTTTTCCATRCTACATGCATTGAATAAAATTCTACTTTTAATAGAACCACCTGAGTAGTTCTGTAGACTTTGGTCTCTTATTTCCTTTGTTAGCTACAGTTCATGAAATCAAGATCTTTCTTCTTAGAATATCTATTTGTATGCACTGTTTCAATGTAAAATGCTTTCATGTTCCCTGTCCTCCCACTCAACTGGCTTTTGTGAAGAGCATGTATGTTTATCTCGCTTAACATTGCTTACAGATCTCATTTCTCAATCCTTTGATTATTTTAGATGCCCTTCTCTTAATTTTAGTTTCATGGTGCAAATGGAAGAGAATTGCCTTAATACAGTCCTCCTCAGAAGTTCCCAGCTCTGCTGTGCTCTTGCCTGTGGCGTTCCTGGCAGTGCTTGCTGCTACTATAGATTCTTGGAAGAGAATCAGATTCATCCAATCAACATATACCAATAGGAATTTTCTAAAATACCATCAATACAGGGCAGTGCTGATATGCAAAAATCATGACCAGCATACCAGCTGCTGTTTTAGAACAAAGATCTGAGCTGACAATTTATTTATCTTAAAAGAAAAAGAGCCAATAATCTATAAATATTGTGGAAGGCAGCAAGAGGCYCAGAGAGAAAGCTAAATGCACTAAAAATAGCAGGATTTTTTCCCTACAATGGCTACGATACACTCATATATTAAAAGAAAAAATAAGTAGAATAGATCCTTCAASTGACGTGAATGTGCCCCATTTATGAAGATGCACTTCATAAATGACAGGTAAAGATGAGTATACATGCAAGCCTTTTCCTCTATTTATTCCTTTTTTATTCCTTACTCCATTAAAAYTTCCATTTTGATCTTCAGATAAGCTTGGCATTAGTAACATAAATTGCTGTGGATAGTCAGAGAAAGGGCTTTGTGCACTAGCACATACCAGGAAACCTACCTTAAAACTTCAGGGTTTGTTTTGGTGCTGAAATAAGAATTGAATAAGATCCACATCGCATCGTGCTGGAAATGAGATCTTGCCACTTTTCAAGGTCAATGGATGAGTTCTTTGCCAACATTTCTAGACAAGATATGCTGCTTTTTCAGCATAATGTACTATTCCTCTGATTTCAGTTGAGCATTTTTAGTATTGTGACAATCAAGCATATGAACAAGCTTCCTAATAGGGTTAATCATTGTGTTAAAAGCAGTTTTCTTGAGTTGTATGTCCATCAGATCTGTTTATTCAGCACTGCACAAACAAGATGCACTTGTTCMAGCTATTCATTTTGGCAGAACAATCAATCAAATAATCAAACAGAAGAGAATTTTTCCCTGATATGTCCTAGACATTTATTTTAAAGGCTTCCGCCCTGAGCAGCAGGTCCATTTCCCATTTTGGAAGCAAATATAACTGCAAGAAACCTTGGAAGCTATTGCTAACATTTGAGCCCAAATAAAGACAAACTTGTCATTTTAGAAAGGATTTCAAGTGCTCATKGTCAAATGGATTTCAGTCAGTACAGTCAAGTTTTCCATATTTGCAGCTTTCCTGGAGCACTTCGCCAGACCAGTTAAAGTTTCCTTTAAGCCATCCCTTACTGTCAGATTGCAGATTGCAATGCTGTGCCAGAGGGGCAACCTTTCTCCTGCTTCTATCAGGTGTCAGCTAACATTTAATTACGGCCAAAATAAAATTTCCACAGAAAATATTTATCATGAAGTATTTATCTGGTGTTATGAAAAAAAAATTTGAATAAGAAATACTTTATTTCAAGGAACATTTCAATGTAGTTTTGCAGTTTTATTTCAACAACATCAAAGATTTAACTGACTATTTTTCAACTCAGATATTTGTCATGAAATATGATACAATAAAGTCACTTAATAATAATTATGTGATGGTGGATTTCTGTTTTGAAGCTTGTCATTGACTTTTTTATTCCGTAGAGGCAATGGACATTAAGAATGATAACATCCTATTTCTTTGTGATTAGGAAATTCTTTATTATTTTATGTTGAATTTAGCCAAAGACTAAATTATCTTTAACACTAACAGTCAAAAGACAATATCCTAGATGCAAGTTCTTTGCTTGTATATGATTTTTTCATAAGAACCTATTGAACTTAAATTAAAAAAAAAAAGCAAATGATTTAGTAGGCAGCAAGGCAGCAAGTGTGGGTTTTGAATTCAACAAGTTCAGAAAGGTAAAAAATATTGCATTTCTTTTTTTGAATGAACCCTTATTGTAAGCTTTGGAGTGAAAATGACTGGTGTGTTTTAAGCTGACTTCAGTGCTGATGTGTATAAAGCAGCTTGAGCTGCCTGAGCCTGTGGCTCCGCTGAGGCAGCGCTCTGGCTGGTTTCTGGAGTTCAGATTAGGCAAGAGGCAGCCAAGAATTTACACAGGCTGCAGTTGGCAATAGTTGCATTTTAAGCAAGAGGTGCTCTGGATGACCTCCTGCGATCTCTTCTCAGTCCCATTTCCATGAATCTATAAGGTGACTCCAGTCATATATAAGAATTTGGAGGTTACAAAACTAGTAAAGGTTAGGAGGTTACTAGAACATAGTAAAATTACTATATTTAATTGCCTTAATATTTGGCACAGATTTTAGGCTGAAATGTAGGACTTTTAAATCTCTGTCACAGAGTAGAAGGATAATATTTTTTATATATTTTTGTAAAAATATAACTATCATTATAGCCTTCCTTGGTGTAGATTCCCTTAAAAGTCTCTGTATATCTTTGTAGCTGTTTTGCAGTGATTAATATTTTGTCAATGCAATTTGTATGCAAATTTTCAGCTATCAATTTTTTTTTATACTTATTCATCAAATAATAAGCACAATGGATTTTGAAATTTGCAGTTGAAAATCTTCATGGACACATTAAATTTTCTAGGTTTTGTTTCTTCTTATATGCTTTGTTCTGAAAATGTAGTATATTGGGTCAATTTTTCTGTCATAGAGAATCTCTGCTCATTTAAAAGTGAAGACAGGAAATGATAAAAGATCTGATCTCTCAAGCTATAAATAAGACTAAGAAAATATCTGTCTTCAGGGGATGATACAAAATTTTCAAAGCAGTGAGAAATTCTATCTCATTTTAAGTGATAGTATTTGCATGTCTAATGCAGATCCATTGTCTTACTTACTATAGATACAATCCATTCATTTTGTGGAATACAAGTCCACCATTTGTACTAATCACCCAGTGTTGATGGTCAAGTAATAAGAAACACACTATTAAAAGCCAAAAAGTTCACACATTTCCTGATTATAACTCATATCTGATATAAATTGCTCTGGAAAGGAAACAAAAGTAACTTAAATAGCAATTTAAACTGTATGCAAATAATATAACAAACGTAAAGTGATGAATTGAAAAAATTGCTATCTTGATGAGACAATATACAGTAATTAGATTGAGTGTTACCCAAAAGATCCTAATCAGATATTTCTTTCCATAGAAATGAACATTTCTAGTCATCACAGCATCATCATCTATATGCGTATATTCCATGTAAATGAAAATTTAATTATATCCTAGCCGGATTTCATCTGTAAGTATCATTTTAAACTCAAATCTTTTTAAGCCAAGACAATTAGAATATCTTTGCACCCCATAAACTGATAAATATCCATATAAAATGCTAGGGTGATATGCTGCAGTAGAGGATCTATATCTCTGCATCTATGGATAGAGAGAAACTTCTGCATTTCTACATTTGAGTGCTAACCAGGAATGATGTGTGATTTTGAAGTATCCAAACCTGCCTACAGACTAAGCTTATGTCTCTAATGAAACTTGATTGCTAGGATATAAAGTATCAGCCTATTTAGCCTAATAGACGCACATACACATACTAAACATTCAAAGGGCAGGGAATGTTCATGAATCCAATGCATAAATCCTCTATATATCCAACATCATATTCTTAAAGCCAAGTAAATAACATATGTTAACCTCTTCTTACAACTGAGCATTTCTTAAAGATAAGAAAAGAAATCACAGCTCCTGCTAATGCTGCATTGTTCACACAACAGACAGATTAGAGAGCAGCCAACTGGCCCAAAGAGGCAATACTCTGCCTTACACCAACATGCCAGAAACCTTTTYTATGTCATATATATTGGCACTTTGCTTTCTGATACTAATGCCTTTAAATTTGCACTCTGAAGTCCTGCAGTAAAGCTATGCTCTCCTTAGGACTGGCACGTCAGCATGACTGGGATTTTTCCTTAGATTCTGTTACCTTTACATGTATTCATTATGTTGGCTATATTCAGCAAAGCATTTGGGCATACATGTAGATTCATCCTTTTCCAACAAAGTGTTTAACTTGTGCTTAACTTCAAACATATCCTTATGTTACATTTCCTTTGGTGAAATGACTTGCTTAGGTACATTCATGGAACCATGATTAGGCCAAGATACTGTCAACCATAGTGAAAGATTAAAATCAGTGCATTAACCAGCTCTTAAGAAATGAAAGACAACATTGTTTCTGGAGGGAGAGAATGACACATTTCAAGACCAATTCATGCCCTGGAAARTATAATACCAATGCTTTGCTTTTTTATATACCTGAAGGAAGGAAACTTAAACTGCTAAGTAAATACTAATAAATTAAGACTAAGTTAAGGTTATGGAGATGGCATAAAAAATTCCATTTTGTACTGTGAAATCTGTAACTCTGGATAAARTTTGGTCTTTTTCACATTGCTGTGGTGCCTGATTCTGCCAGTTCTCTGAATAGGAACTGGGATTTCATTTATTCTCTTCTCTTGCTAATATTTTCTATGAATGCTTTCACTTATGTTTTCATTCTATGTTGGTATTAGAACCAACACAGAGACTGGATGAATTTTTCAATAGCGTTGTATATGCTTGGTGTACAAATGCCCACATTTTTTACCACTTTCCTATCTGTGTTTCAAAGATGCAAACTTGCTACCTGCAGGGTTGCCAGAAAGCTCCAGTTCATGTGAATGCTTGATTTTCACAGGTGATATCAACCCARAAACATCAGAGCTCATCGAAATCACAAAGCTGGGAATGGCTCCTTGAAGAGATGCAGAGATGCAGCAGAACCTTTGAGAGAAAAGTGACTGTCAGTGAGGCTAGTGTGGTCTCAGAATAATATAATCAATGCTGTAGTAAAAAATAAACACAAAAAAGATCCACATGATTCATTTCTAAAGCATCTCAGAAACTAATTTTCAAATTACTTACAAGAAAAGAAATGAAATGTATTCAGCACGACACTAACTTTTAGAATTTTTGATAGAGAAATGAATAGTCAACACTGCAGCTCATTTGCTCTGATAACCTAAGAGTCGAACTAGGTGCTGAGGGGAATAGAAAGAAAACATCCACGGTAGGGGGTTAAAAAAAAAAAGGAAAAATAAATTTCTGTTCCTAATTATACCCTGCAGTTATGGAAAACTATTTTAAAATCTTTTAGAAGAAACAGATGAAACGATGGTTCCTCTAAGATCCAGGATTTTATAAGGTTGACAATACTGATGAAATACTCTTGAAGTAATAAGGTGAAATCTCTCTGCAATATAAGGTGCTTGAAATGACTTTCTAAAGGTTGAATATACTTTCCTTCAGCATTCAGGAGTATAATCCATGCATTCATCGTAATAAATACATTACATCTCAAAACTCAAACTGGACAGCCATCAAGTGAGTTGGGCTTCCCTGCATAAGACTTTTTCATCTATTTTCTTCAAAAAGCATGATTTCTCTTCTTTCTTTCTACCTTGCACTTAAAAAAATAGATCTTTACACTTCATAGTTTATGTTTAAAGTTTAATCTGAATTTTTACAGGAAAATTAGTGCCTCTTCCACACCAAACAATTGTTGACATATGAATTCTGACCATGTACCATGAGACAGCAACAGTGCCATGGTGACAGCTCCCTGTACACATAGTTGCAGTTATTCTCACATAGGAGTCTTCAAAAAAGGATGTGCTTTTGGAGATAAAGTAAGATTTTAGACATGTCTATGCAGAAAAATTCTTTTGAAAAGACTCACTGGTTAAGTGCAATGACATTTGCACCATAGATTTCCTTGTTTTTGTTTCTTTGCTGAGAGCTTTTCACAGGAGCTTAATAAATTAAAACCAAAAGAGCTACCTCTGAGCTCACAGGAGAGCAGGAAAAGAATGGGAAGAGTGTTTTGTTCCTGGGGAATACCCCGTGTGAGTGGTGGAAATCCTGGGAATTTCGTTGAGCAGAATCCCTCTGTGTCRGGACTTTTAAGAAGAGCAGCTACCAATGCTGAAAACATTAGATAAAAATTACCAACAGGCTGTCTTACCTGCATGTGCTCAGCAGCTTGGAAGGGCAAACACAGGCAGGTAGAGCTTGTACATCAATCCAAGCTCTGACAGCTCCTGYGTAACGCCTGACAACGCTGACATGTGTTGTACTTCCCATGATATTCCTCCATCTCAACCATAAAAAGGCTAATAAATTAGGAATAGCAGCTCTCCYGTCAGGTGCAACTCTGATCACCAAACCAGTACTTCAGTGTAGGAAAGAAAAATCCCATGGTTAGCTGCTGCCCTGTCAGATTTTGTCCCAATGTCTGCTGCCGAGTGAGGAAGGACATCATCTTAAACGGCATTGAATTCTGAGCAGAAATATAACGGGAGTCATGGTATTTGGCTGTGTCCAAGTCCAGGTTTGTGTGGATGTGGCCAGCCCGCATGGAAYAGCGTGAGTTGGGGCGGTCTGCAGGCAGGCACATGCAAACCTTCAGGAAGTCCTTGCTATTAACAGGTACGGTGGGTTACCTTCTGGGGASAGAGACACAAGCTTTCAATACGTTACACAGGAACTATGTGCTAGCCTCAGTACGAAGCTTATTATTTCCACAAGTTTTGTAAGTTTAGAAGCTTAGAAGTATTCTGCTCTCCTATATATTTTCTAATATTATGCCATGGCAGCAGGCCAGCAGAAAAAACTCCCAAACCACTGTGAATTGGAGCCATTACTGAAGACATAAATCCATTATTTACCTATTCCGATGGGTCAGAAAGCTCCAAGCACCCAATGGATGCAAATTCCCCACACACACACTTTTTTTTTTTTTTTTTTTTTTTTTTTAACACCGATACAAATTCTCCAAAATATTTTTGCACTGCACATTTTTTTTTGCTTCTATCCTATATCCAGTCTCTGATCCATCCAGTTTAATACTGATTAAGCACACACAGACATCTTTCTGATTTCAGCTTTGCTGCTAATCTCCTGAATACATTATCATAACTGAACAAACCAAACAATTCTGAATTCACTGGCTTACATAGAAAAGAAAATATTCAGTTGTATGTTCTTTCCTATTCCATTTGCATTCTGTAAATGTTCTTTGCATGTCCCAGAGTGCCAGTACAGGGAGCAGAAGATGTGGTCATGGAAGTGTGTGTGCCACATGTGTGTCAAAACTGCTCCACTGCTCTCACTGTGGAGAAGCTCCATGTCATGCAGCACAGCAAGGCAGTATATGGCTTATTCCTGTGTTGTGGAATGCTGCTTTTGCATTTAAGGCCTGTGCTGCTAGTTATTTAATAAGGTGTAATTTAAGCAACGGTTATTCAACCATTATCTGATTTGCGAAGTTTTTGCTATTGCCATCTATAGGTATAAGATTGCATTATCTCTGCATGGAGTCATAAATAAATTGCTGAATTAATGGAATCTCGTAGTGATCACTAAAAGCAGAAATATCACAGTCAGAAATTATAGCTACTTCTTTACAGTCCTGATTAAATGTTATGTGTACACCACTGTATTTTACATGTCTCATGTCACAGACATAAGACGTACAGCCAACACATGTATAGCCACCTCACAAACTGACTGGTTACCCATTTCTGCTTACTTACTCCATACAGATTAACCTTCCCTCTACTGCGTTTCTTTTTGGTTCAAAGCAGGAAACAGTTCCCACTAACCTTTTTCCCTGATTTAAATTAGGGAGGGAATTCATCTGGACTCTGCAACTAGGAAGTGTTCCCAGATTTTCTAGCCCCACTTAKCTCATCTATGCAGTTCTACTTTCTCTGGCTTTCTCAGCTGACTTAGAAGTGCTGCTTTTGCAATTCCTATACTGTGAGGGACTAAACATTTCCTCCGATTAACAATTTGTGAACATTGTAATCAAGATAACCTTGAAGAGCAAGGGAAGCACAATTACTTAGCGATGAACATGACATTTGGGGAATTTTTAAAACTTCATTTTCAGCCTAATACTGCTTGTATTATTGAGTACTAATCTTTTGCTGTCTTGTCTTACCCATAKGATTTCTGAAAATAATATATTAATATCTAAAAAGCTTATATCCCTTGAGCTTTCTTAAATCAATGGTAAACCTCCCACGGAGTTGTCATCTTCTTCCAGCAGCCTCAGAGCTTTAGTCTTATTTTTTTAGGAAACTTGCTTTCTTCTCAGGCATGAAAAGATATATTTTTTTTTGGTGGGCCTAGCTTTAAAATCTTATTTTCTCCAGGTTAGAGAACACAGAAAAAAGAAATATTGTGAATAGAGAATTATGACACATTTTTCAATCCTCAATGAATAATAGGATTGAAATAAAAATTTACAGCTCCTAATTTATCACAGGAATGAAGAAAATATTCAAAAATATCATTTTGATTTTCTGGATTTGCAACAATATTAAATTATTTTAACTAGCCATAAAAGCAGTCCAGACACTATGAGCATACAAGTGCGTGTGTAGTGCATGTGTCTTAATATGTTTCACCTGGTTAAATAGAAAAGGAAGATGGTTGGCACATTTTATTTGAACCCATATCATCACAGGGTTCTGCAAGAGCAGTACCTAAAACAAAAAACACTCACAAACCAGGTCATCATCACTCTTAACTAAGCAGAGAGGATGGTATGGCAGGACTCAGAGGAAAAAAATGAAATATTAATCCAAGGTGAAATGCAATTTCTATTTCTTTGCCAAACAGATAATGCAGCTGTAAAAATTCTTGGCCAGCTAGCAGCTGTAAAGAACATAATGCATAATAATAYGTCAGTAATATTTACTTTAGAAAGTGAGTTTATGATGGGGTATTAAGTGCAAGTGGTGTTCTCTTCAACTCCTGAATATGATGACAATTCCAGAAAAGAATTAAATCTAAAGGATAATAAATTAAAGATTGTACTCATCAGGAAGAAATAGGGTTAGTCTTTTTTTTTTTTTTTTTTTTTAAGGGCAGTAACAAATCAAAAAAAATATTTGAGAGGGAAGGCAAAATGAAAGACAAAAGGGTTGGAAAACCTCAATTGTTTTTAATTAATGTAAGATTTTGCTCCCCACTTTGGTAAAGTTTAAGATCAGGAAATCTCTTGAAAATCAGTTCCAACAAATGTCTCTATTCATCTGCTTTATGAAAGTTGGCTTTTTCTGAAGCATTGTTACTTGTCTAATAAAAGTGCACATTACAGGTTAGATGCTTGTGGAATACTTTGGGTAGTCCTAATATTTGTTTTGAAGGTATTGAAGGCTATACACTCTATCATAAAAGTTGTGTAAACTTAGTTAAAATATAGCTATTTAACAGGAACTGTTCCATGTTAGTGGAGCTTATTTTCAGTAAAACAAAGAGAAATAAAATCTCTTAGAGAAACCTAGTGAACTCGCACCAGAAGGAAGAAACAAAAAAGACGGTAATCTATACTCCACAATACAAATTAATGTGTGAGTCATCTCTTGACGTCTAGCTTTGTCCTCTTCCACCCCATCAAACCAAAAGAAAAAAAAAAAAAACTCTGACTCATCTGTGTTGTGAAAATGGGCATGTGGTGTTGGGAGAAAAAGTCAGCCCAGTCTTGGAAATAAGAAGCCTACCTGCAGGTTTGCATCTCTATGAGACTGTGCGGCCATGCAGATCTTTTGGTGGTCAAGTTTATTTCAGAATTAAATGAGGATGAGTTGTTCTCATTAAAGCTTTTTTTTTTATTGATAAAATACATAAAATGCCTCTCATTTGCGGATTTAATGTAGCGCATGGCTGCACTGATTTTTGATTCAGATGTGCTTTCATAAGAAAAGTTT